GCGTCAGCTCCGTAGGTCAGCCTATAAGGCGTCTCTTGTGTGATTGACTGGGGGGTGCAATGATACGCCCATAGGATGCTGGGGAGTTCATCGGGCCACTGCCCTTTGGCGCTTCCTAGTCGCTTTTTGAGTTCCCGGAGGATGACCTTGTTGGCAGCTTCGGCCTGGCCGTTGGTCTGAGGGTGTTCCACCAAGGTCGAAAGGTGTTTGATTCTGAGCTCGCGGAGGAAGTCCTCGAATTCCTATGCGATGAACTGTCGGCCGTTGTCACTGACGAGGGCGTGAGGGATTCCGAACCTGCAGACGATGTTCTTCCAGGTGAACTTCCGCACATTCTCGGTGGTGATTTTGTCGAGTGGACATGCTTCGATCCACTTGGTGAAGTAGTCGATTGCTACTAGGAGGAATTTTAGTTGGCCTTTCGCAGGGGGGAATGGCCCGAGGATGTCCATTCCCCACTGGGAGAAAAGCCACGCCGACATCATGTGGTGGAGGGTTTCGGGTGGTTGTCGGTGTGCGTTGCCAAACTGCTGGCATTCTTTGCATTTTTGGATGTGGTTTTGGCAATCTGACTTCAGAGTGGGCCAATAATAGCCAGCTCGGAGTATCCTGGTTGCCATTGAACGCGTCCCGGAATGCATGCCGCATATCCCCTGATGAATTTCCTTGATGACATAGGCTGCCTGGGACGCAGTCAGGCATTTGAGCAGTGGAGAGGAGACGCCACGCGTGAATAATTCATTTCCGATGATGACAAACTTGGCCGATCTCATCCTTATCTTCTAAGCTTCGTCTTTATCCTCGGGCAGGATTCCCTCTTTCAAGTAGCCCCAGATGCCTGCCATCCATCCCAGGTCTTGATTGTCACTGACGTTGACGACCTTGTCGTCTCGGCTGGGTGAGTGCAAGGGTTCCTGTATGATTGGTCGGGGTTGTCCGGGCCTTTTGGTGATGGCGAGGTTCGATAGGAGGTCGGATCGGGCGTTTTGTTATAGCGGCAAATGCTTTATGATGAATTCATCGAAAGACGAGATCTGGTGGGACGCAACGAGAAAGTACCGCTGTAGCAGAGTATCCTTTGCTTGGTACGTCCCGCTGAGCTGCTCCACCATGCGTTTTGAGTCACTGTTGCAACTCACTCTTCGAGCCCCGAGGTCGCGGGCCAGCCTCAGTCCTGCTAGAAGTGCCTCGTACTCTGCCTGGTTATTGGTCACCTTGAAGCCAAACTTGAGGGATTGCTCCAAGGTGACTTGGTTTGGCCCTTCCAGAATTATGCCTGCACCACCGCCTTTAGAGTTGGAGGACCCGTCAACATGCAAAGTCCATACCTGGGGTTCCTCGGCAGTAGTCGGCGTGAGCTCGGCTACGAAGTCGGCTAAGCATTGGGCCTTCAGGGGTCCGCGGCCTTCGTACTGGATGCCGAATTCGGATAGTTCTACCGACCAAGCGATCATGCGTCCGGCGAGCTTAGGCTTTCACAGAATTTGCTTGACAGGATAGTCGGTTTTGACTATCACCTGGTGGCTCTGGAAGTAGGGTCGGAGCCGCTGAGCTGCGGTGACGAGCGCTAATGCCAGCTTCTCGATCATTTGGTATCTCCTTTCCGCGTCTTGGAGGACTCGGCTGATGAAGTATATAGGTGTCTGTACCTTTTAGTGTTCTTGTACGATAACTGCGCTGATGGCGTTCTCTACTACGGCCAAGTAAAGGAGGAGGTCGGTGTTGTGATCCGGCTTTTGTAGGATTGGTGGAGTTGTGAGGAAGGTTTTGAAGCTTTGGAAAGCTTCTTCGCACTGATCTGTCCACAAGAAATCCTTTGGCTTTTTTAGTAGGGTGAAGATTGGTCCCGCCTTTTCTGCTAGTTTGGGAATGAAGCGGGACAGTGAGACTAACCGTCCGGCCAGGCGCTGGACTTCTTTCACCATTTGTGGGCTTTGCATCTGGATGATGGCCTTGCACTTCTCGGGGTTGGCCTCGATTCCTCTGCTGGTAATCATGAAGACGAGGAACTTACCCCCTGGACACCGAAGACACATTTCTCCGGGTTGAGGCGCATGTTATGCTTCCTGACCTGGGCAAATATTTCGGCAAGGTCGGCAGCGTGGTCTACCGCCGAGGTAGTTTTGACTACCATGTCGTCGACGTAAACTTCCATGTTTCTCCCAATCTGTTGTCGAAAAACCTTATCCATCAGCCGCTGGTAGGTTGCCCCTGCGTTTTTGAGGCCGAAGGGCATCACCCGGTAGCAGTAGTTGGCGTGGTCGGTGATGAAAGACGTGTGCACTTCATCGGGTGGGTACGTCATTATCTGGTTGTACCCAGAGTAGGCGTCGAGGAAACTGAGGAGGGCGTGTCCGGAGGCTCCGTCGACTAACCTGTCAATGCTCGGCAAAGGGTATGAGTCCTTGGGGCACGCTTTGTTTAGGTCGGTATAGTCGATGCACATGCGCCACTTCCCCGAGTTCTTCTTTACCAGGACCACGTTTGCCAGCCATGTGGTGTATCTGACTTCACGGATGAAGCCAGCGTTGAGCAATTTCTGTGTTTCAGCGACGATGGCTTCCCGTCTTTCGCAATTTCTGTGTTTCAGCGACGATGGCTTCCCACCTGTCGCCGCCGACCTTCCTCTTCCTCTGGGCGACTAGTTTTGCCTCTTTGTGTATTGCTAGCTTGTGGTAGATGAAATCGGCGTCTATGTCTGGCATGTCAGCGCTAGACCAGGCGAAGAGGTCGGCATTCTTGAGGATTTTCGCTTCAAGTTGCTGTCGCAACTTTGGAGTCAACTATCTGCTGATCTTCGTGGTTTGCTTAGGGAGTTTCCCGATCTGGAGGTCATCGAGCTCGTCAACGGGGGTAGGCCGCTCGTCGCGAGCGTCGGATCTTGGATCGAGGTCGGTGATTTCTTCGTGGTTGATGCGAGCCACGGTGGTAAGGTTGCTCTTGCACTGTTCGCCAGGTGAGGCGATTTTCAGGCTTTCGGTGTAGCATTGCCGTGCCGTCTTCTGGTTTGCTCTGACGGAGATAATCCTCCCATCATGCCCTGGGAATTTCATGGTGAGGTGTGGGGTGGACTCTACCGCTCCGAGCTGATTCAAGGTTGGCCTGCCGATGATGATGTTATAGGAGGTGTCGGCTTCCACGAGGAGGTACCGAACCATGACCTGCCTTGAATCCGGGGGTGCTCCGAAAGCCGTCAGTAGGTCCACGTATCCCTGAGTGTAAACGCTCCTTCCTGCAAAACTGACCAGGGGTTCTGTGTGAGGTTGTATGAGAGAGTGGGGGACGTCTAACCTGAGGAATGTTGACCAATATAGGATATCGGTTGAGCTCCCTTGGTCGACCAGAGTCTTGTGAACCTCCCAATTGGCTAGCGCTACAGCTATGACCATGGGATCGTCCTGGTTGGGATTGATCCTGGCATAGTCCTCGTCGGTGAAAGTCATCGTCTGCGAGCTCTGGTGCGAAGCAGAGGTGGTGAAGTGTACGCAGTTGACGTTGCGCAGGTGTTTTTTCCGGGCTGAGTTGCTGGCTCCCCCTCCTGCGAAGCCTCCTGCAATTGTGATGATCACTCCCTGTGGGGGGGTTGATCCCGGCTCCTGGTTTAAATCGGCTCGCACTGCTCCGCCGGGGTTGGGTTGAGAGCCGGAGGGATGATCAGAATATCGCCGCTGGGGTTGAGCGCGAATCCTCTTGTTTTCCGCGCGCAGAGTCGCTAGGTCAGCCTCACTAGCGGTACGCATTGCGGCTAGGTCAGTTTCGCGCTTGGCACGCATGCTTTGTACTGCGGCGTGTTGCTGCCGCAGCTGCTCGACCTGCTCGATCAGTCGTCTTACTGCTGCTTCGTTATTCATGTTAGTTGTGTGATCTAGGTCGTCTATTACGCGTCTGCTATGGCTTCTGGTGAAAACCATAAGCGTGACCGATAAGAGCTGTCTTGATCGGCCCCACGGTGGGCACCAAATGTTCTTACCGGAAATCTGCTGTAGAGCTGATCCGCCAGGTAAGATCGGTGAGCCTCCTTCACGGGTACGCTGGTGCTCCAAGATGGGGGTGGTACCTGCAAAAGAGACTCCGATGCTAAAGTTAGTGTTTGTGGGAGTATGAATCTCGTATAAGTAATGCACGTACCATAGTGTGAATTAGGGTTGCTTTGGGCCTTGGGCCTGAGATAAGAT